TGACTCGTTTGGTGCAGCTTGTGCTTTTAAAGCCGAAAAGTTCTTCTCACAATCTGCACCAAACAGGCTCTAAGAGCTCTAAGGAAGCTAATTTGGCTGGAATGAGCAAACTCAACTAGAGGTTATACACGGAGAAGAAAAAACTCCGGTGCTTGTTTTCCGTAGAAAGGATAACCTTCTGGACTGTCATTTACCCCCCTCCCACTTTTGGTTCACCTATTTAGAAATTCATTACTAAGGGCTTCAACATCTTCCAATCTAGTATAAAGTGGTCTCCACGGTCAGGGAACAATGTCAGATTCTGGACTGATTAGTTGGTGTAGTGATTTTCCTTTGAGCTCCTAGCTTTATGACCCTCATTCTCTGGTTTTGATCAGATCACAGTGACTGATTTTTTCACGACTGGCTCTTTTGCCCCTGATCTTATTGTTTATCCCCTTCTTACTGAAATTGAGCTTCTTATCAAAGCTGTCCCCATGTCTTTCTGTGTGCCATGAGGGAAGACACTTTCGCTTGGAAAGGTAGTTCTAATGGTTCCTCCTTTGCTTCTGCTTACTGTTTTGCGAAGGATGTGCCCCTATTAGTTGCTGATGATTGGAGGTGGATATGGAGAACTCATACTTACCCAAAAATTCAACATTTCTTATGGTTGTTGCCTTACACACGTTTGAAGTGTTTCTCCTTTTTGAATAGACTCAGAATCATTCCTTCCCCTATGTGCCCACTGTGTCATAGTGAAGAAGAAATTGTTGAGCACCATATACGTTTCTGTCATGTTTCTTTTTCCATTCTTTCTACCATCCTTCTTGGTGTTCTTTCTCAAAGCCAACAAGATTTAGATTTCTTGGCTTGGCTTAGACTTAATGGCATCCATATGGATATGAATGTGGCCCCCAATATTCCATGGGTGGTTGCTTTTTGTTTTACAGTGTGAGGCATCTAACTTCATTGGAACCATGCTATTCATAAACCCCAACCATATGACACGGTGACATCCAAAAGGCTGATAATGGAGGAAGCTTCTGAGTACTGGGCTGAACAACATCAGTTGATTTCTCACCCCCATTACACCATCTTCTTCAAATGGTCTAAACCTCTCTATCCATTTATCAAACTCAGAATCGACGATTTTGTTTAGGAAATCATGGAGGAGCAGGCCTCGATGGACTATTTCGAGATCATAATGGCAAATGGATCTTAGGGTTCACCAGAAGGATTGGGGTTACTAGCAGTCTTGCAGCTGAGCTGTGGGCACTGAGAGATGGCCTTTCCATTTTTGTTGCCAATTCTTTTTCTCATTTCGTTGTTGAGACTGATTCTAGTCCTTCCTATCAAGCATTTCTCGTATCTCTCATCCACTCAATTCCTTGATTTTGTATTGGAGGGACCTCTTCAAACAAATCCCTCAAGTGCAGATGATCCATACCATGAGACAGTCTAAGATGGCAGTAGATCAAATTGCTAAAATGAGACATTTAATGCAGCATAATTTTGTTGTCTTACCTCAATGTCCTATTAATGTTGCACTTTTTTGTGTTTTGGATATTATGGAATATGAATTTTCGAGGATATGAACTACTAGCGTATTGTTAATGTTTTATTCAATATTATTATCATCTTACCAGCCTCCCCATCGGCCTACTCTCTCATCCACTCAATTCCTTGATTTTGGATTGCATGGACCTCCTCAAACAAATCCTTCACGTGCAGATGATCCATACTATGAGATAATCTAATATGGCAGCAGATCAAATTGTTAAAATGAGACATTTACTACAGTAGAATTTTGTTGTCTTACCTCAATGTCCTATTATTGTCAAACTTAAAATATAGATAGATTAGATAAAAATTTTTATCAATTACTACAAATTGGCTAACTATTTACAGTCTTTTAACATCTGCCCTTTTCAACAGCTACGGAACCAATTGCGTTTTATGTTAACAATGACTCATGGCTACCGTGTCAATGCAATTCAGGGTGAAGACTTACCAAACAGGCCCACCGCAGGCAGCACTTGCACGTTTCTCTCGCGATCAGAACCGAAACAGATAGCGCATAAACGCCGCGTTTTTTGCCTTTCCGTTGGTCGGAGAAAGCGAAACAGAAGAAATGCAAATATGCAATGCATTCGATTCAGATTCTAGATGAAGCGACTCCTCTTCTAGAATCTCATCGCCGAAATTGAATTTAGCATTTTGCGGTATTGGTTCCAGTTTTGAATTCAAGTGAAAATGGCGTCGAATCCTTTTCTGCAACCTGAGATCAGACCCGATGGACTCCCTAGAGAAGCACCTTTAATCGCCTACACTGAGAAGATTCTCTCAATTTTCTTTCCGATTACCAGTTTTTGAATTGATGAATTTCTTGAATGTGATCATGTATTCTTGTTTCTTGTTTCTTGTTTCAGATAATCGAGGAAGTGCAGCTTCAATTAAAAAAGTACGTTCAAAGCTCTTGAGATTGAATCTGTCACTTGTATTCTCATTGCTAAAGGTGAACCAACTAGGCAAATTCATTACTTTACATCAATAAACTTCTTTGAATCTTCGTAATGATGAGCTGTAATTTTATACTGAATTAGTGTTTTGTAACAGATGTGTGACTGCTGAGTATCAACATTGTAGGAAAGAAGAGTGCAATAGAATTAAAGGTGTGTCGAATTCAGATCCAGAGAGATTGTATTGGCTAGTGATAGCATATAGGATCTTACAACTTATGAATTTAAACAATTAATAGTGAACTGCATTTAAATTTTTTGTTTAGTTACTATGTTTTAGCTCTTGTTATTTGAATCAGAAGAAGATTACATCCAAGTTTGATAATAGACTCTCTTGCTGTTTATTTATTTGATAAATTGAATTTACCACTTCATATTGAAAGATTTTCGGTCTCTGCTTAAAATTTTTCATTTCTTCACATATTATTTGGTTTCTTTTTGTTTGGGAATTGACTTCTGGCAAAAAAAAAATGGTGTTCACTTGATGAAGAAAGTTTGTAATTCTTCCGTTTTTCATAACATTTAACATTTAATTTTATTGACAATTGAGATTGGAGTTAGTCTGCTTTTGTGGTGATTTTCTTTCTTGATTTTCTATGTGTTCATTACTCATAACGCAAAACTGGATGTTCTCTGATACTTACGTTTCTCTTATCGCTGATCAGATACATTGAAGAAAATTATTCTAAAATATGTGATATCGAAAGGGAGCTAGCGAATCTAACAATGGAGATGAAACTGACAGCTGGGCCAAAACAGGCAGGTTGGGACACTGTTATCACTAGTTATTCTTCTGGAACAGAATGAAAATTCTCTTTGTTTTGATTTTGATTATTAAGTTTTTTTTTCCCTGCACCAGGGCTTGCATATGTTTTGATTTTGATATCATTTTATAGATCCAAAAACCTCATTTTGTCATTGCCATACTCCTGCCTTGACTGGCCTTCGCTGCTGGAGACCCGGGTAGGAAGGAGTGCTAGATATTTATGGTATTTCCGATCGATTCTACTTGGGAATTAAATTGCTTCCTTCTTCATCATGATGGAAATTTCTTCAAACATACTTCAGGTTTGGGAAGCAGCATCAAAGGCTGTGAAGGATGAGGAAGCAATCAAGCAGAAGTTATGTGAAGAATTAAATAATCGGGTATGTCTCATTGCTCTATTGAGATAGAACATGCAATGTGTATTGTTTTGGATCTTCATTGGTGCGCTTTTCTTTAATAGGTTCAAGAAAGTAGTAACTCTCAATTTGCTGTACTAGAGGAATTGAAAAGGCGGTTGGAAGCTCTGAATCCAAGTAGAGCATCTGCCATGTTGCCTCATGTAAATTTTCTTTCTTCTTCTCTGCACTAAATTTCCATCTCTTTGTGTACTATACAGCATTCATGGATAAAGTAAATAATCTACAGAACCTTTCTTCATATTAGTAGCTCCAAAATGCACCTGTTTTGTTATCAGTTGTCATTATGATTTTTTATTAACAAGCGTTGAAAGGTTTATCATTGTGCTTGCTGTATTAGCTATGAAAAGATAAGAGTACTAACTTCGAGATGTTAGAAGTTTAGAGTTGTCAATTCTTTTTGAAACCACGCTTTCTTTACTTCGATAAAATTACATTAGATGCACATAAATAGGTCCCAGAAGTTTTGTCTGCTTCACCTGGGTACGTGCATGCTTGGGCAACATTTTTGTTTGTTTTGTATATGTCATGCTTCTTGGTTGATACATACCCTCTCATATAGACTATATATAGAAGAGAGGTTTAAAGTTTTCCCTTGGAATTATTTTTAGGATTTGAAGCCATCAGGACCTGCTAATGGAGGTGGAGCTTCAGATTCTTCCTTAGTTTCCAATACAACAGAAATGCAGCTAAATCAAAGAGATGGTGGAAATGCTGCTGCTAATGGGCAAAATCAACAGTTAAAAAGTGAGGAAGAAGTAAGAGTAAAGAAGAAGAGACAGTACCAAACCAAGGAAGGGGAAAGGGAATTGGTGCTGTGCCTAAGGGTAGAGGTTCTGCAGCACCTGGCTGGACAGGGGCAGGGTTTGAAACGTAGAAGCGTCAATCCATATTGTCTCTTCACATGAAGACATGGGAGAAAAGATTTCAATTTTTTTTTTTTTTTTTCATTTTAGGGATACTTCTCTTGCTCGTCTGTGTCTCCCTTGACTTTGCCTTCTTTAGCTGTTCTTGCATCCTTTCAATTGCATATAGCTTGAATATAAAATGTTCTATCTGACCTTTTTACTTCTTATTCGTTTTCTAAACTAATACAAGTCAATAGTGGGAGTCTCAGTTGGGAAATGGGAAATCATTCAGGAACATCGGTTTTGGAAAGGTCGATAGAGAAAAATAGATAAAGCGAAAAGTTTCTGATTTTTTTAACCTTAATCTGCAATAAAGTGATACTTCAATGTTATTTTTTCCAGATATTTGATTCTTCTCCCTCTTGTCTGAATCTTGCTTTCTATTAGTGTGACAGTTTGGTGAGGCATACATGTTGCCTTCAAATGCCTTGCTCACAACATTTTATTTTTTAATCTAATATAGCTGTAAGCATGAATTTGCACTTCACTTTATTTGCGGTAAGGAAACACGCACAAAGGGAACATATCGTTATAGACATTTCTGGACAGAGATCACTTCTGTGATAGAGGAGTTGAAATCAAATTGCATGTGGATAAATATTTGGTTATTTCTTTTATACCCTGTAATTTGGAAACACAATTGATAAAATTGTATCTGAATAAGAACTAGCACAGTCCAAAGGTGGTTGGAATCTCTGAGGCATTTGTTGGTGGAATGATTGAGAACATACCAGCAGGGATACATTGAACTTTAACTGTATGAGGCTTGACCTGGTTCTAATGGTCAAAGGCCATCACTGCACTGCATCATGAGTCCACATGTGGTTTTATTTGTTGATTGTAGCTTACCTGTTTGTACCACATAAGCATCTAATATTCGCATTATATTTCCTTTCTATCATCATAGCATAGCTGGGGGGCATCATTTTACACACTGCTTGCGTTTAGCATCATTTAACATCAATGGTTTTATTCATGTATTCAAATTTTGAATGCAACGATGATGTATTATATCGTGTGATGATCCTTTCTTTAAGACATGGTAATGATGGCAACGGTACACTGTTTCTAGCATAAAAATAGCAGGGTAAATATAATTCTTTTAGATCATCATGTTTTTCTATTATTGTGAAGAATATGATAATTGAAACAAAAATTTGAAACTAATAACATGTAATATAAGTCATATTATTTAAAATATTAAAAGATAAATTATATATTATTTAGTTATTAATATTTTTTTTAATTTATGATATTATATATATTAACTAATTTAATAACGTAATATATATTATATCATTGATCTTAAATTTTATTTAAATTTTCGTTTTTTTTTTTATCATTGCTATATTGTAAAATGCATTAAATTTGAAGTCAATACGCTATGGAGACTAAATGCCAGTCTCTTCTTTCTTTCTGTTAGCTGTAAAAGAATTTATTTTGGATACGTTCATGGATAGCATGGTTTGTTGATCGCTTTAACTGATATAATGGGCAAGATTTATATTCTTGCAGTCTGCAGGGTGTCCTGTAGCATCCACCATGCGGCCGGTCAAGGCGGGCACCTAGAAGGAACTGTGCCTGTGCTCCACTTTTACCGGCAATTATTAAAGATAGTAAGGGTACATCAGAACATAATATTTGTAGTCGTTTTCCATTTTATTTTTATTTTTTTTTCCAAAGTATTTAAAGCTTGTTTGCAGACAATTCTGATTTGGTATTCAAAATCTCACCTAATAGACCTAGCAGGACCAGGTATCTGAGCATGGAAATAAAAGTTTTGTTGAATTTCTTTGCACCGTATAAAATTTTATG